TTTTTTTTTTTTTTACCCTCTTTAATTTTCAGCCAATTGTCCTAACGACCCACAATTCTGGTATATTCTAATTTGACACACAAACATAGACCATATCATCTATTCTGGCACGTCTGCTATAAGGGAGTTGAACAGATCAAATTAATTAGGTGAATTGTTGTTGGCTTTGTCAAAAGACACAAACCAAAAAGACACAAACACAAAAGGACCTCTATATCTCCTCCTATATTCATGAACAAGCTAGCTTCTTAAATAGATATGTTGCGGTTTTTATGCACGTAAATTTATTTAATTTTTTTTTTAAAAAAAAAATTCTCACCTAACCAGCTATAAATATAATTTGATCCATAGATCATCAAAATCACTTGAATTAACCCCAACAAATTACTCTCTTAATAATAATAATCCTTGTCTTGCATGGAAGGAGAAAATTATTTTCCCTATTTTTTCGTCCCGCCTTCTTTTCCATTATCGGACTCGTTAAATGATTCGAGCGATGCCAATCATTTGTTGGACCAATCCATGCAAAACCCTCAAATAATGTTCTCTACTTCAGATCAGATTGATTTGTCTAGCTTTTTATCCAGCGGGTCGGGTCAAGAAAACTCGATGAGTTTACCAGTGCCGAGCAATGTTCGGGAAGCTGAGGATAATAATGTTGTCAGAAATAAGCCGAAATCGGGTAGGAAAAAGAAGTACATTCCACCAAGAGTAGCATTTCACACGAGGAGTGCAGAAGATATTCTTGATGATGGGTACAAATGGAGAAAGTATGGGCAGAAATCTGTTAAGAATACCGTCCATCCAAGGTATATATATATATTTTATTATTATTTTTTGTCTGAATTTTTTCTAGATAAAGTTGTATCACATGCCTGGATGATCATCATCATGGGTAAATTAGTCTGCGGTTGTTATTAGGGGAAAAAGAGGAAAACAGAAAGAGGATAATAAAAAACAGTACCGTGCGAATGTAAATTTCAGCGTAATGTTTAGGCGAGTCGACTCGTTATACTTTTTCAATATTTAAACTGAGTGAACCGCGAGTTGGAGAATGACACTCATAATATTTTATTTCAGCCCACATTTCAATTATTTGCTTGATGGAATTACATACACGTAAATCGTCGAACAAAAATTCAAATTATTCAATAGAATCTTGCAGTGGTGCAAAGAGAACATGTGTAAATACATTGAATCGTCTCATTGACCAGCTGTGTTTTTTGCATGTTTCTGACAAAGGAGCTATTACCGGTGCACGCATCACACGTGCAATGTGAAGAAGCAGATACAAAGGCTGTCGAAGGATACTGGAATTGTCGTGACAACTTACGAAGGCATTCACAACCATCCCTCAGAAAAACTAATGGAAACGCTGAGCCCCCTTCTCAAGCAGCTTCAGTTCCTGTCCAGATTCTGAATAAAAATCGAGCTGTACAGAAACTGTACAAAATTCTCAGACACTGTACAAAAATTGTAAGTGATAGGCAGACACAAAATGCTGCCAAGGGAAAAATGTAACATCTGTGTTGTGTAATCATGTGCCCTGCTCTTGTTCTTAGTAGGGTGTAGAATTAGTAAAAATTCACGGTTTAATCGATTATCACATGCCACCAGTAGAATCATACACTCACATCGGCCGTGAAAAACCCATCCCGTGAGAATTAATTGAATTGTCTAACTTTCGACAAGTTCACTAAGCACGACGGTAGTTATTACTAAAAGTCTGCCCTGCAGTTAGAAAAAAACGACTCTTCTTATGAAGCTTACGAATACCCACTTGACATATGCAACTGCCATTCGAACAATGCTTGAGAGCGTTCTTTTGGATTCATACAAGAAAGAGTCGGCTAAGCACGCGTCAGTAAGCATGAAAGATAAATGGGTTTCGTGTAACTAAGCTAACCTCATGGGTAGATTAGATTATGTGATTAACCCCAACTATAAAGCAAATGATAATATCCCATCCCTTCAGGATGATACCAATGCGGAAGCTACGTACTAAGCTAGTCATCTAGTTTTTGGGGAAGTGTTTCTCATAATAAGAAATGGAACTTGGTTGTCACACCAAGTAAATCATTTGTAGGCACAATGTTCCTCTTTGCACATTATCCATAAAAACAATAAAATAATGTTGTGACTTGTGAAGGCTGAAACATTTTACAGATGAAAGGTTCGTGTACACAAGATCTCACCTAACTTTCACCAACAAACTACAGAACACACAAAAATGAAAAAGTAACAGAAAATTTTTAAAAAGAAAAGGGAAGGATCAATGATATTCTAATAACAAAAAGAAATGGAATGGTGTAGAGGACTACGCATCTCATGCTGAACTTAGCTGACATCCGCAGACATTAGACTGAGCCAAAAATTGAGATTTCTACACAAGTAGTCGGCTCTGGTGTCAATTTTTTCTATCTGCAAAACCCATTGTAGCTCAAGAACTACCAAATATAAACTTCAGACGGCTCCTGGGCCAGAATAATTTAGTGTCATCTGCAGATGCTTATAGCTGGAAGGTGCCTAACTCATTGGAGTGCTGAGAGAGCTTTACTTTTCTGTCCCCAACCCACTCGAGCCTGTAAGACAGGTCAAGATTGTGTATCAAGAGCTTTAGCCTGTCCATTTCACTCGCGGCTTTGTTGTTTCCCTGCAACACAGAAGTGAAATGAAGACTTAGTTCAATTTGTAGATATCATAGAATTCGTTCACGTTAAGCATACTGGTAATTGGTCCCAACAACTTAGAAATAGAGAATATAAACAATGAAACTAACACAAGTTGAAGAAACCAAATTACTAGAAGAACAGAACATATTAGACTGTTGATTTCTAGCATCTAGTTTTATTCTGTGCAGAGTAAATGTTCAAAAGACTGATTTTTTTGTGATTCTTGACTGCATCTGCTTCGTGCTGTTATTTAACTTAGTTTCAAACACAACAATATCTCTTTCAAGTACTGAGTGATGAGGAATAATTATGCCGAGAAATATGACCAGTAAATGAAGAAGTTACCGGTGAATTGGCTCGTTCATCATCATGGAGCATAGTAGCCATAATGCTGGACCGAGTGGAAGTAGGTGAAAATCCTTCCCATGGGGGTAAAAATATCACCTTGGTGCACTGAACGGGAACAAGATTTCGACTAAGTTTCTCCCACCACACAGATCCCAGTGACCACCATCTGATCATCAACCCACATTCCGAAAAAGCAACCAGTCCCTGCAGGAAGGGTATACAGCAAGATGAAGGTAAAACTATAAACAATTTTTGTCACATGATAGACAAAGTATCTTAAGGAGATGTTACCCACACTAGGGAGGACTGAGGAGGGTGGGGACACACACACACACACACACAGAGAATGAAAATTAAGGCCCAACTTGCTCTCAAAGATAAATTGCAATCTAGTGGGCACTTTGAAATTATTAAATATCCTTACTAAAATTCCATAAGTGTGTCTCCACAGGTACCCTGAGGGCATAGGCAATACTAATCCCAGTGGATGTAAAGGGAATGTTCGAGCTAGGAATCTGTGTAAAGGCAACGTAACAAATATCTTGGTTTCTGAAATCCAGTCTAACTAGTTTAGTCATTTTCATACACAGATTAGCAATCCCATGAGACCCAGGGGTCGTAAATTTTGAAGAGGGGACAAAAACGATAAAACAACATACCAAGTATATTCCCAACTGGTTGGGGTCTGGGGGGTCAGTTATACGCAGACCTTACCCTTGTAATTATACAAGGAGGCTGTTCCCGTAGCGACCCAAGGTGCATTGCATCGTTTGATATATTTTTTTCTAGAAACTTCACTAATAGAAGAAGCACTAGTATTTAATTGAGCCATTTTGATCTAGTCCATTATTAGCAGCTCTATGCCAGGAGAATTGTCAACAATGACTCTTCCAGCTCCCTCCATTTGCAATGGACAAAAGGGGACAAAAAACGATAAAGGACAAATGTTCGTCAACAACCGCCAATGAAGCGTTGAAGTGACATTTTTAACTGGACTAAAGAAACTACAATTTATTGGCCATTGATAAGAAAAAGGATATAATAATTGTGCAGAAGAATTATTGTTTCAACGTGTGAAAAACCTTTGAAGAACCTTTAACTGATAACAATTAAGCTAAGAATTAAATTCTTCCCAAAGACACAACATGAACACCAAACAGCATGTAATATGTAGACACAATTGAGGAACCTATTCGAAAAGCTAATCGCTTAAAACTCACAACTCTTTCCAGCGAGTCCTAACATAACGATTTAGGAAAAACTTGATATTTATACTCAGAGTTACAAAATGCAAATACTGGAGTCATAGGGCTGCTTGAAATAGTTAATGATAGGATCTTCAACTCAGAGAGTTCTATTAGATTTATATATTCGGGGGAAGAGGTTCCCACAGGGGTAAAGCACACCTTAAGAAGGCGAGCCTAGATGCCACCTTAGTGGGTATCCATCCCAAAACTAATTGGTGATGGGAGGAGTAGCCCACTAAAGTTATAAACTAGGCCCATTTGCCTTATAGAATCTATGCAGGACAACTCACAAGTGATATTCCAACAAGCCCCCCCATGTGAGTCCTTCTCTAACAATCCCAAATCAAGCTCGGTTAGCAGAGAGTTGTCACAAGTCCTATATTCAGACCTGCTCTAACCCCATGATAGATTTATATATTCAGAGGGATGGGGTGCGGTCCCATATAGATGAAGCACACCTTAGAGCCTAATTGCCACCTTAGTGAGGTTTCATCCCAAAACCAATTGGTGATGGAGCGGAGGAGTAGCCCACCAGAGCTTATAAGCTAGCCGATTTGTCTAACAGAATGAATGTGGGACAATTCACATATAATTTCAACTAGTTCAACACGTGAACTCAACATTCAGAGACGGGTAGATACAGATCACAACAAATTAAGGACCACCAGAACAGAAATTAAATTATGTGAGTTTGTTACCTCTCCATCTGGTGAGAAACTTAAAGCAGATATTGCAGTGGTTATAGCCTTTTCTATGGTTCCTCCAAGTAAATTTGGAAGTCCAGGAGGTCCGCTGGCATCCAAGACCTTTACCTTGGTCATGCTACAGTAAAAACGGCAACTAAACAGTGAGAACGCAACTAGAAGCAAGAAAGATGAATGGGAGCACACAAGTATAGAAACAATTTGTTTAACCATTCACCAACAGAGAAGATGCCTTCCAATGTAAAGAAATAACTGAATACTTATAGGCTATAGCATATAACAAATGCTTCGGGAAACATTTGGACCTGTGTGTCACATGTGCGTCACATACAATTAATAGAAGAGGTTCCTACTTCCTACATCAGCTTTTGGAACAAAACTTCAGTCTTGTAAACCAAGGAAGTAGCCTTTTTCAGGTTCAAATAAAGTTAACACAAAGGAATAGCAACAATGTTAATTTTTACTGATATTCATACCATTAACGTTGATATGCCATGATAAAAATAACATAGCCAATTTCAGATCTGAGACCACAAAATAATTTAAATAAAATTAACTTCACTTCATTCCAACTTTCTCTACTCAAATTGCGCTCAATACAAACAAATCACAAAACAAAATCAGAATTACTTCAATTTTACATGTATGTCGTAGTTGAATACCTTTGCATGTCATACACCCGAATAGAAGCATTATTAATCTCTCCAATTGCATCCCCAACTGCCAGACGGGTTGATGCATCATTTAAAGCTATCATAGGAAATACACGTACAACTTCTTTCAGTGCTGTCATAGAACTTTGGAGACAGTTTCTGCGCATGGTTAAATTACCGGGATCCATTGTCTGTAATATAAAAATGACCACCTGCAAACCTGTCTAGACATTAGGATGACACAGTTCACTGTGACTCACTCCTTGGAACAATGACTATATACATATCTTGGAAGTACTGAAGCATTCAGCTGAACCTTAGAAACAAGATGTGGCAAGTAGTCAATCGGGACACTTGGTGAAAAGTATGATTTAATTCAAAACAAACAAAAAGACAACAGTACACATCATAAATTACAGATATATTTACTCTTTCTGGTTATCGTCTTCTCAGGAACAGGACAAAGTGACAGAGGAAGAAAACTGAAACTTGGAGCACCACAAGAGCTCACATCTTAAGGTCATCCAGTGCGGTAAACCAAGAAACTGCAACGCTTACCTTGTGTAGTAACTTTCTTAGCAGATATATTACTTTTTTAAACATGTAGTCTGATATTCATAGGAAAAACTTTCTTTGTGGAAATGGGACCCTATTCTTGAGATTTGGTTAAATGTCTGAATACTAATTGAATGATGACTTGTATATCATATATCCACAATCAAATTAGTTGACTATGGCCCAGATCAGGTTTCATTTATCCTGATTTCATTTTCTTGACTCTTGAGAATGCAATTGTTTCAAGTCCTTCCTTCCAAGTAATCAATCTCTAAATCATAGACAAGTTACATACATCAGAACAGCTTTTCCTGCCTTCTATAATCTACTATTCCATGAAGTTAAAATTTTTAAATTATTTATTCAGCGTATCATTGTTACTGGAAAGTCATTCACCAGCAACTAATAAAGGGAGAATTTGTACTATATAAACAACCAGACCAAAGTCCATTGTACTTTTCTAGGAAGAAAATTCTAAAATATCTAAGATAGTAACTTACACATGATGGCAGCAAATTGTAACTGCAGCAAGCCTAGTGTATATAATTCTCAGGAGAAAATTTCAAGAATAGAAATTGAACATGATGGAAAATTATGTATATTGTTTCTACACACCTTATCAAGATATGGAGCTAAATTTCTTGGACAGCCACGAACAACCCTGATCAGAGTCATGAGTGCCACCACGTGAACTGGTGAATCAGAAGCAGTTGACCAGATTTGGCTTTCTATCACGTGCAGATATCCAGGTATGTCAGCCATTGCTAAACTCGGAAGTAGTATTCCAACTAAAGTGTCCCGTATGCTAAGAGACGCAACCGGATTCTGGCCATATGCATTAATCGATGATTTACTACTGACACACTCCACTTGAAAGAATATGTCCCCTATCAAATGAGGTATTTCGGAAACAAGGCACGCCCTCCATGTGCTCTCCATACCTTCAGCTAAAATCTCAGCTGCTGCAGCACTATACTTGTCATTCATAGCCATTACCAATTTCACCAGACGATGAACCACCACAGCCGGAAGTCTTCGTTTGACAAGGCTAGGATACCAGACAGCTAATGCAGCACCAACAATTATTTGACAAGTCATTGCATCTTGAGTTGTTCCCCAAACACAGGAAATCCAGTCTTGCACTTCATATGATTCCAACCACGAAGTTATTTCAGAGTCTTCCTCGACAAACTCCCCTTGAGTTTCAATTTTTTCATCGGATGCGGGACATGTAACTGTTGTATGGCCGTGCTCATCCTCCGATTTTCCATGTGAATATAAGTGACCATTTTCATAGCACAGTGGAACTGGAATGGCCCGCGAAGCAGCACAATGGAATAAAGAGCGAGCAGCCATTTTCACATGTTCAAACTCGTTCTGCCAAAAGCTTACTAGGATCTGTCGAACATAAAATCGATCATTAAAATTCTGGTTCACAATAAGTTATGTAGGAGAGAGGTAGCACCTGATCCGCACATGGTGAACGGTACAGGTGACAAATGACTCAAGATGTTATTCGTAGAGGTTTGACGAGTAAAACCTTAAGAATTGTACTCACTACTTATAGAAGAGAATCTACAAAATGGAAGT